ATCATTGAATCATAGAATCCTAAAGCTCGAAGGGACCCCAAAGCTCATCTAGTCCAACCCGCTTCTGCCAGGTAGGAATATACAAGCAGTCTTTTACTGGGAAGGCTTCCTCTTGACTCAAAAAGGACACTGATGATCTGAAAATCGCAACTTCTCTTCTGCAGGCTAAACATGCCCAGCTCTTTAAGACGCTCTTCATAAGGCAGTGTTCCTTGACCTTCCTAATGTCGCGGCCCCTTAAGACATTTCCGCATGTTGTGGTGACCCGCAACCATAACATTATTTTGCTACTTCATAACTGTAATTTTGCTCCTGTTATTAATTGTAATGCAATTATCTGATAAGCAGGATGTATTTCCATTCACTGGACCAAATTTGGCACAAATACCCAATATGCCCAAATTTGAATAGTGATGGGGTTGGGGGATTGATTGATTTTGTCATTTGGGAGATGTAGTTGCTGGGATTTATAGCTCACCTACAATTAAAGAGCATTCTGAACTCCAGCAGCAATGGAATTGAACCGAACTTGGCACACAAAACTACCATGACCAACAGAAAACACTGGAAGGGTTTGGTGGGCATTGACCTTGAGTTTGGAGTTGTAGTTCACCTCCATCCAAAGAGCACTGTGGACTCAAACAATGATGGATCAGGACCAAATTTGACATGAATACTCAATATGCCCAAATGTAAACACTGGTGGAGTTTGGGGGAAATAGACCTTGACATTTGGGAGTTGTAGTTGCTGGGTGTTATAGTTCACTTACACTCAAAGAGCATTCTGAACCCCACCAAGGATAGAATTGGGCCAAACCTCTCACACAGAACCCCCATGACCAACAGAAAATGCTGTTTTCTGATGGTCTTTGGCAACCCCTCTGACACTCCCTGGCGACCCCCGCAGGGGTCCCGACCCCCAGGTTGAGAACCACTGTCACAAGGATTAATGATCTGCAGACCTTGGATCCTTTTGGTCATCCTCTTCCTCTAGAATCCTTCCAGCTTAGAGTCAATATCTCTTTTAAACTGTGGTTGGCA